GTTCAGTGTAACATCACTGCCAAGATAAAAGAGACAGCACATGCAAAACCTCCTACTCCTATTGGAAAGTATAAGGGAGAGTCAGTAAATAGATCACAAATGGAGGTAAAACAGTCTAATGAACGTAATAGGTTTTCTATGTGTATCACTAGGTAGCAACACAGTCCAACTTCATGACAGGCTAGGTAGCATACACACATGCACATGATCAGAGAATGGTTTCAGTAGTCAAAATGGTAACCGTGCTTGAGGTGTTAACTACTAAAGAGCAGCATTCTATTGTCCATTTTTTGTGTGCAAAAGGACTCGGTGCAAAGGATATTCATAAAGAAATGTTTTCTGTCTATGGTGGGAAATGTTTATTGTGTAAAGTGGTTCACAACTGGGTCGAGAAATCCTCTCAAGGATGTTCGAAAGTCACAGATGATGCCCAACCAGGTGCGGAAGTGGCTGAGACAACAATGAAAAGCCTTCTATACTGCAGGTTTCGACACATTAGTAATGTAATGGGACAAGTGTATCGATGTTGGTAGAGGATACGTCAAGAAATAAATATTTTTTTTCGGGTTCGAATATCATGTTTTATGTTTTATATCCTGATCTATTTACTGACTGTTCCTCCTATATAAGCGAAAGACTCACCACTTCACATACAGAAGTCATGGCAGATATTCACAAAAATATCACATTATCACAGATGTCATCAAAATAAACACCCAGAAAAAATTAACTATTTAGACAGAGTGAATAAAGTCTGTCATCACTTCTCTCTTTATCATTCCAGGCATTGCACTGGGTAGCATCCAGTCAACTTCATCACCTCTCCCAGCCTCTCTTTACCAGACCTCAGGAAATGTTTAGCTCCTAACATTAACTTTTTGTCCTGGAATAGAGGTGAAAGTAAAGTTATCCCTGTGCTTAGATAATTAATTAAGCACCATGTCATGAAGATGTGGGAGAATGAAAGTATAGCTCCATTATTCTTAACCTTGTCATTAGATGAATGTGAGTGGAAGGCTTACTCCTACCCCTCTTCCTGAGACTAACTTGTATGTTTCCTTTCATATAGTCCTGACATTCACTCTGAAGGTGGCAACTACAGCAAACAAAACAGATGACATGAATCAGACTCAAAAGCTGATCTTATATATCACAGACAGTGGCTGTAGAAGATTATAACAAGAACCTGGCTACCCTTATATAAGATCAGCGTTTTCATGGCAGTCAAAACCCATATTGTGTTTGTGTGGGTTACAACACCATGTTGTGTTTTGAAGGTGAGTTCTGTTCTTTCATAGGAATATACTGCCTCCAGCTCCAGGTGGACTATGTTTTTCTAAAACACCGGTACCCATCTACCTGACTATAACAGAGTGTCGCAACCTAGGAGACCACCACTCCTGTTTTTTAATGGTAAATGTTGTATTGTATTTATCATTTATTTGTAATAATTGGCACACATTCTTTTTACAACAGAAGAAACACAATATGCTCTTGCACAATTAATTAAAATGTCTGCAGAATATTAAACAATATTTTCAATTCTTTCCTCCTTTATGTTTGCAGACAAAAATAACTGAAATTAACATGACAAATGTACAGACATAATTTACATAAAGCTTGGTTTCTCTTAGTTTATATTTTCTATTTGCTCCAATTTCTTTTCACAGAGATAGTTTACAAGTATTGAGGTATCTGTTTACTTAATTGTGTTATTCATTGTTTGTTATTTTTCTAATTTATGACTAGAAATTTGCACTGACTCATGATTTGGTATTTTGATTTTGTTAAATGAAAAATACTGTTTGAGTGACTTAAAAGATACAATATAAATTAAAATTTGTAATACCCCCCCCAAAAAGAAAACTGTTAATAACATTGCATACAATGGTCTATTTACAATCAGTGCTGTTAAGAGATAAAAAAATACAAAGAAAAGAAAAGATCAGTAAATTTATTGGATTGCTCTTTTTGTAAGACAGCAGATTAAAAGAGGTACTACAGAAGGAGACAGATGTGGCATCACTATGTAGACATGTGAGCGTTCTCCAGCATCATGGTACTGAGCTGTACTTTTCTTTTACCACAGTTTGAACAACAAATAAATTACGAAATATAGTTTCACTCAGCAAGAGACATTCTCTTACTTTTAACAGCGCTAGAAACTTACTGAAAATTTTCCTTCATTAAGAAGCTAAACATATATATTTCTCTTCAGTCACATAATGCACTCTGCCAGTTTCTCTCTCTCTCTCTCTCTTTATATATTATTTTACAATTTTTATTTGCTTTGCACTTTGGCAATGATTTCTTGCCGAAACCACCTGCAATAATAATAAGTCAATATTTGTGCTAAGTACAGTATTAATTATTAGTGACTAAAATTGCGAGCATTTATTTCTTTGTCAGTGGCACTATTATTAACACTGGATACATAGAATGTGTCTGGGATTGGGGGGNGGAAGGAAGGAAGGAAGGAAGGAAGGTGATTGAAAGGAGACAAGGAGCTTAATATTTATTGAACTCCTCCAATAAAACATTTGGTTACTGTACTCTTTTGCTTCTTAAATTTTAAGTAATCAGTCAATTGTATTCTATTTACCTTATTTAGATTTTCTTTTAAGCTACATTATTACTTTGCTGTAGTTACAGCCATTTTAAAAACAGGAACTAAAATATGTATTACATTGCATGAAACTGCAGAGAGAGGGTTGAGGGTTCAGAGGGAGGGAGGGAAGAGATGGTAAGGAAGGGATGTACGTACATACACTTAAAAGTTTCTGTATTAATGCACACTCATGGGTTTTATCACAATTGTAGCTGAAACCCTAGACATGGATGAAGCAGCCAGTTTATGATATCCACGTAATCAGCCTTTCCTCGTAATTTTTTTTTTTGTTTCAGCACATACCTGTGTTTTTACCTTGCTTAAGCAGTACAATCCATAATTTTTTGTTTCATGACCAAGACACAGGTTTCATTCCAAATGACTACCATCATAAGTCAAATAGCAGTTCTGTTGGTAGTGAGAAGTGTTACTTGTATTGGCCATGGCTAAGGTATCTCAGATTCAGGAAAAATATATATATATATTATATGTATCTATATTTATATACAGTAGCAACACAAATTTGGATTGTTAATTGAAAGCCTCCAGATATGCATCAACAGCTGTGTTGAGTTTATGTACGACACCCAACAATATTTTTAAGGTGTATGAACCATCCATGAGACTAATTAGCAATGCATTTTAAATACAACTAATTCTATGTGATGGATGTGATTCTTTTTTCTCTGACTAGAATATTACAGTAATTTGTTAACATTTTAAGTAAAAATGGTACCATGATCAGTTAGAATTGAATCACTTCTCTATGTCTGATGATATAAGTTGGGTACTTTACAGTTGGCATTTTATCTTGCCATTTTAAGTAATTTCATTCAAGTACAGTAGTTTAGTGCACAAATCATGAGAACCAAATCACAAACAATGCTCAGTTACCATTTTTAGGTTTCAGTTTCAATCTATTCACAAGCAAAGCTTGACATGCATCCTTTTTTCTCTTCTAAAAAGTGTTATTGTAATTACAATACTTCCATTATTATATCATTCACATCAATATGCAATACTGCAGCCTACCACAGCCAATGTTGCTTATTGGTTTTATTAACTATCTGGAAATGTTCACAGTACATCCACAGATCATGCCAATTTATGTGAGACCTATTGCATTAATTTACAATGGCAGTACTTCACTTAAATATTCAGTTTTATGGAAGTTATACGTATAGTCTTCCATAGTACAAATGAGCAATGACTGTCACCAATTCTTCTACTGTCCCTCAAAGCTGAGAACCTATATGCCAGTCACTTTTTCCCTTCCAACCTTTCTTATCAAAACTGGAAATTCAGAACAGTTGAATTATCATATAGTGTAGTATTTCTGTAAGGCGGATATTTCATAGTTTTCACTGAGTACAATTCAATGCTCTTGTTTCTGTGATACCTTCTGAAGGAAATGCAAATTATGCAACATGAGACATAAGGAGTAAATGTAAATGAATAATAATGTTTACAGTTATCTGAAAAATCTTTCTTTTTTTGTTTAGTCAGTGAAAACATAAATCTTTTAACTACTCAAGAACACAGAAAGCAGCAGAAACCAGTGTGAGAAAGATGACATGAAAGAAGAATTTTTTCCCAAGATGAAACAAGGACATCCTCTCATTTAGCAACTAGGGAAGGGGGTGTCCAGAATAAGACAATGTCAAGTATGGACAATTTTAATGAAGATGCCATCTCCCATATTGTATTTTAATTTTATGGTATAGGGAAATTTTCAACATGTACAAATATGCCCAATACAGAATAGAAAGGTTTAACAGAAACTGTGCAGAGAATTTCAAGAGAGTTTGTATTCCTTTTGAAGAAATGTGGTGATGGGTGCAAGTTTTGACGTAAAGGATAAACGCTCACAGAAAGGATAGAAGTTTTGAGAAAAATGCCTTGACTGACCAAATAAAACTCGCATCCAATTATATATATCTGTCCAAATGTGGGTTAATCAGAGCCACACTACCAATTTATTTGCTTTAAGTTGTGGTGGGAATTGGAGGCTATATTATTGTTTTCCATGCTGATTCTGCAAAATTTAGATTCAATAATTTGCCAAGTTAGTACTTCCATAAAATACAAGCAAAACTGATTATCACAAATAAATGAATCATACTGTGTTCAAAGGGGAGCATGCAATAGCATAGTTTGTTGAGGCACTATGCTACGAGACAGAAGATCATGGGTTCGAATCCTGATGAGTAATTGGATTTTTCAATTGACTTAACCCTTCCAACCGCACTATGGTCCTGGCATCATCTCAGCCTCTAACAGAGATGAGTACCAGTGATCTTCCTGGGGGGTAAAGGGCGGCTGGCATGTAAGGCTGACAACGTCTCTGCCATCTGTGAGCCGATTGTCTAGAGAATGTGGGAACCTCAACGTCTCACAACCCTATGGGCCTCTATGGCCTGTTACAGGGATAGCTTTACCTTTCTTTTACTGATTAACCCTTTGCAAACGTGGGAAGAGGAATGAATATTATAATATATAACACAGTTTTTATCCCGTTCTTAGCAAAAAGGAATTACATCATAATACAGCTTCAAAATGGGTATAATAAAATGATTTGATGAGAAATCCTCAACAACAACTTCTCTCATCATATTGTTGCAAAATGTTAATGTGCATAAAGGGAATACAGAGTATATTAACAGGATCAGGTGTCTGTAATTCCTGGACTTTTACCATTTTACTATCAGCATTGTGCTACAGACCCCACCAATGGTGTATCCATGTTATCGTAGTGATGGGGTTTGAGTGCTTCCGAGATCTTGAGAGCTATGCCAACGGTAGTATAGTTACTGGTAGGGGCATGCCAGACAGGTCAAGGGGAAGGAGCCAGATGAAGAGTGATACCCTGGTCCTCTTTGTCAGGGGTTGGGCATGAGGCTAACAACCTCATCCTGTAAAAAATAAATTGTTTAGAAACCAGATAATCAGCCTCGAATGGATGGAGGGAAATCAGTGAGCAGAAATCAGTGGGCCATGAACTATTCCATCCACACGGTTCTCAATTCTTCACTCTATCATTCGATGTTTCATCATCTCAAGAAATAAATAATAGGCAGGAATTGAGGCTGATTATTCAGGAGGCCAAAGCTCACCCTGAGCTGTAGAGCCAAGGGGAAAGAAGGAAGGATTGTGCTACAGAACTCCTTTGGGCTCCAGTGAAATATCGGGCTGCAGGAAGAACTAACATGTTTAAAACCGTGCATGTGGAAAACTCACTGAAAGAAGCATGGACAGAATTACAGCGAAATTTTTCAAAAATTTTGCACAATATGCTGAAAATCTTCAAGCAGACAATTTAGAGAAAGAGGGACTAAGAGATAACAGTACTGAACCGTTCATTATAACAATATTTGGAGATGCAATGTAAGAAGAACTGAAACTCATTTCAGTGAAGAAGATGGGTTAGGAGAACTGATATTATGAAAATAATTTGGGAAGGAACAGTGTTTATTGTTTAACTAAATTATTTAATATTGTATGTGTATTGGTGGCAATATTTCTTCTGTTACATAGTTTCAAATTAATGTGACATGTTGCGCAACGGAGAACCCCTCCTACCCAGCAGTGACGTGGCAGGTGAGTCAGCGCTCCGTCACCACCCTCCGCACGGTGACGTAACACGCAGCGCCCGCCTGTTATGCAATCGGTACCGCTGTTGGCTGTTACCCGTGTCACAGCTGCGCTGCGTGTTGCGTCACCGCGGTGGGGGAGACGGAGCGCTGACTCATCCACCACGTCACTGTGGCCAGAGTTGCCATGTCACTGCTGGGTAGGGAGGGGTTGTCCTCCATTGTTCAACATGTCACATTAATAATCATCCTTTTAATAAAAGCAATAAATATTTATCAACCCAACATGCTATAATTGAAGTAGAAGGAAGGACTAAGGAGTTAGAAGTAAAACTAAGGACCTATAACGCTCATTTGTAATGTGGAAGACTAATAGCAGATTCAGGAATACTGAAATTGTATTTCTGTTTGTTACAAGTAGACTCTTCTCTGTCTACAAATTAGTTATCACTGATAACTACAATAGCTGTTTTGCATTGATATTATGAAGTTATACTGAGAACTACAGAATACATTTTTGATTTATCCCAGTGACTGACGGAATTAAATAAAGTTCCATGTTTTTGTACTAGTGTTTCCCATCCTATTGCCAAGTGAGAAAAAGAAAGATGTTGTTTTCACAGTTACACCATCACCCTCATCCATGCCACCACAGGAAGACACTTCGGATTTGTCAAGTGCAAGTAATGGTTCAAAAGCAGGGTCTTCCTTTATCCACTTCATTATTGGCAACATATACTTCACTGTCACAGTTGATCATCCCAGAAACCCTTGCTTTTAAGCCATGTGTACTATACCCTATTGCAACAACACTGGTTTTTTTTATACCTAGTCCAGTAACCTACCGCCATTTTGCTGGATTCAGTGTTTCTCCATCTCCTTCTCAATATTTGAGATATTTTGGATGTGAACAGTCTATTATTGCCCATTTATGTACGTTCGTTTATTCTCTGAATTTCTAAGTGCACATATTTTTATATTATTTACTTGCTGATATTTAATTTCCAGGAATGTTTAATATCAATCCCAATTCCTCTCATTTCCATACCATGTCACTGAGTGCACATGACCACTTTCTGCTTGAATTCTATATCCTTTTCTAACATTTGGAATCTTTTGTCTCTATCCCAAGTTTGGAATGCCTCAGTCATTTCATACCACTTTTCTATTGTTGTGTACTGAAACAACAGTCACCCCTTTTCTGTCATTCACTCTAAACAAAATCATATTATTATATGTATGCATTATAGTTTAACTTCCCTTTCTCTATTGTGCGGTCCCTTGAAATGAAACACAATAATTCGTTGATTTTTCTTGGAGGCCACAAATTCCATTTGCTCATCCTCAAAATTTTCTCAATCATGACAGAAATTTGACAAACAATAGGGTCTTATAATTAATGAACAGTAATGAACAAAGAACTGTAATGTACAGTTCCTTAAATTTATGCCAACCCTGTTGCATATTTCAGATACTTTCACAAATATGAAGTCAATTTTACAATATAGGGAATTAGCCTCAAATCCAAATGGAAAAGCAATACAGGAAGCCACAGTGATGGCAAAATTTGCTTGTCATACATACTCTTTCACATAGCAAAACCCAGCTGCTTGTGACCTCAACCCAATAAGCACCTTCCATCCTGAAGAAACATCATTTTCCTATCATGGGATGTCCTCTGAAGTTCTCTTCACTCTTCTGCACCTCCTTGTCTTTCGACATGAGCATCATTTGCATTTCTTTCATCGACCACCACCTCCTCTTCAGTCAAGTAAATAAACTCTGAGACTTCTTTCATTATCGCTTCACGCTTTTGCACATGGGTATTGGTGTCAGCTGATCTTCCACCTTCGTTGCTGCAGTTATTTTGATTGCCAATATTCTTGACATTTGTTGTGTTAGTCTTCTGTACACCTGATTTTTCAGTCTCATTAACATACTTTTCAGTACCATGATCACTAATATCGATCCTAGGAGAAGAGTTTTGACTAGTATACACAACATCTGTAGTACATCCATTACTGACAGTAACAACAGTGTTATTGAGTGCTGTGGCACTATTAACAAACAGTGGCAGAGTGCCATTGTTTTCAGTATATTGATGAGTATTTTCATCACCTTGACCACCAACACTTTTGAACTTGGAGAAGTCCTTGCTACCAGCTGTGTTAATGTTGGTAGCACCATCAGTTGTGACAACACTAACATTAGCCTCTCGAATATGTGTTTGCGGTGGGCCAATCTGACTGACATTTCCTCCCGTGTGACTAAGCCCAGCAACACTCTGATGAGATTCATCAACATTTCCAACCCTGCTGCCATCAGAGACAGTGGTGATACTAAGGGGTTGGCCAAAAAAAGCAGAGCAACGGAAGTCATAATTGCAGCAAAGACGTCCATCCTAAATAGAGAAGAAATTATGTTAGAAAACTGTAAAATATTCCTTTCATTTTCCAAGCAATGCCTAAATTTTTGGATGAACTACAGCTATGAAGAGGGCATTAAAATTGCAGGATTCATAATGTTTTGAGTAGGCAGGGGGATAAAAGAACTATAGTATATTGTTAGAAATCATCTTCCAGTCACTTGTAACTCAGGACATAATTGTTAATTTCTGAAACAAACGTTAAACTTGAATTCAAATGCATAAATTTGGCTTAGGCGTTTTAGATGCTATCCTTATTTAGCTGTCCATATGGAAAAAGAAGAGGAATTCTTATAACACAAATGTAAAATCCCCAAACACCTAAGACTGTCTAGTGAACAAGTTATATGAGAACTTATCAATTTGCATGAAGCAAATTTTAAGCAAAAGTTTAGTACTTATGAAGCTGGAAACAGAGAAACTGTCCTTCTCACGTAATTTCATAAAACTGAAGGTTCTGTTTTATCACATCACACCATTCATTGTTAATGCTGTCAAATTTGCAACTGGCATTCAAAATGATACTGCAAAGGACTGAACAGAATTAACACAGATGAATAATATATTACAAATTAAATAAGCAAATGGATGTAATAAACAGAGAAATTTGAAATTTAGCAGTAAGTGAAGGCATTTAAAAACCCGTTAAGAGTTTAACCAAAATTTGCAAAATATATAAGCCTTGAAGCATGAAGCAGAGTCAAGTCTGAGAAACATCCCTGCCATAGCTGCCACCTGTGCAGTGAAAATTTATGTTCATAACACAAGAATTGAAAATATCTACAGTTCCACACCCATACACATATATTCAGTTACAAAATATTTATTTTACAAATTTTTCAATGATGTTACGTTTAATTTATTAATTTGGAGCGCATTAAAAGTATTTTGTGTTCCAAACAGAAAAAAATTTACATTTTTGTGTGTGTACATCATCCTAGTACACATATAATAATTATAAAGGAATAAATGTGAAAAAGACATGCTCAGTTTATGCAATATATCCTATATGAAAGAACTGATTTGGCGATTTTCTTATTGTTTAGTGGGGTAAAGTTACAAGTCAATGAAATCATGTAGATATAAAGAATGCAGTATTACTGTTGGCAGTTAGTAGCAGCATATTACTAATGCATAATAGTATAAGTAATAATACAAATTCCACCACCAATGCAACTATAATTTATTAACTTATGTTCCACTGTATGTTTTTACATGTGTAAAATACTAATGTAATTCATGTAATTTAGGTAATTTAAATAATATTTTATTAATTCAAGTTTTTAGTAATATTTTTTTAAAATTATGTTTATTAATTAAAATCTTATAAAGTTTCTTTTTTTATATTATTATTTATGTTAATTGATTCATGTAAGTGATTTTAATTATGTAACTGTAAAAAACTGTATGTATCTGGACACATCTATTCCAAAGGGACTATTTCCACATCCTAGGTTTGTTATCCACATGGATGTATGGAAAATAAAGGAAATGAATGAATAATTTTAAGCATTCAGAATCTAGATTAGGGTTTATGAAAAGTTGACAGTATCATTGAAAGGTCACAGTGTCTTAGGCAATTTGCAGTTATTAACAGTTAACTGGTTGGTTAATAGGTTATTTAGTGATGTAGAATGAACTACAGATGTTATTTAGTTAGAGTGATTTGAGAGAATGAGTATGTTGATTAAATTAGAAAGGGTGGGAAGAAACGGTCATGTCCTGTTTCCAAGTACAATCCAAAGATTTCACTTAAAGGGTACTTCAAGGGAAGAAGAAAGCAGAAAGGTAACAGGGGGTGCAGCCAAGATTTGTAACAGGCATTTCCCCAAAACAATTAGATATTACGCTGTTCTGCCAGCCTGTTCATTAGTTCAGTTAGGTATCTGAAATATGAAGAAGAGCAGAAAAAGGAAATATTTCCTAAATGAGCTCTGTGCCAATAAGGTGGTCATTAAAAGTCAGGAGGGCTGAAGGAATTATTAAAATGTGAATTTCATTGTCAGTTATCATCTTATTGTTTCCAGTTATTTCAGGCAATAGGAGGACAGCATCCAGTAATTTATATTCAATTTGAGTTTTACATAGGGGTGATTATAAAGAGTTCTTTATTTTGGGGTATAATGCCGTGTGGTCCTGTGAAAGTCAACTTACACTTTGGAGGAATATATTACCTCCATTTCCTGGGTCAAAGAGTGAGCTCTGCTTGCTGCCTGTTTCATGCTGGCTTCCTGCTTTGCCTATTCTTCAACCCAGAAGATGGAGGTGATATGTTGGTCCAAAACGTCAGCTGGCTTTCCCTGGACTACATGGTATCATATGTCACATAACTGACATCAAGTTCTTTTATTAATCTCAGATTCATTACTGCATTTTTTATGATCTTCATATTTCATTTGACATTTTACAGGAATACAACGTTAATACTTTTACACATGAAGAACCACTGTAGTAGTTGAAAAACTTTGGTGGCAACACTACATATATGGCAAAAAGAATGATTCAGTGCAAGGAGAATAATCCTGTACTTAAATAAAGGTTAACTCAAAAGACCTGTTTTGAAATATTACACCAAGCAGTTTTAAACTTTAACATGTTTACGTGTCTGGTAATTACAAAGGGAATTTATGTGATGTATTAAAATTAACAACTAAGGATTAAACCTCTTTTAATGCTTCTTATAAATAGCCTTATATTAAATTGACAAATGATTTTAAAAGACTTTTACAAATAAAACCCAGTGTAATTAGTTTATTTGCAGGAAACAAGTGTGCATGCAGTCTTTACCCATCTACAATTGTAACTACACTGAGACACAGAATAGGATATGCTTGATTTAACCTTCTTGTAGGATTCAGACTGTATGTGAAACACCGGGTTGTTTCTTAACATTAGAATAATAATTCTTAATATACAAAGCAAAAATGTTAAAAATTAAACATTTTCATATTACTGTAACTTATAAATATGCATGCAATATATGAATTACATACAGAATAGAACTATTTTCTATGCACTGGCCAGGTTGAATTATGGCAGGACTATCATATTCTGCTTCAAAAGCAAGGAAATGTTTAAAAATAAATTATATTCAACTTCCAATTCAGGAAGAAACTAGAAACATCCTTAACTCCATAAAAGCCAGTTAAATTAATATCAGACCAAGAATGTGGAGGCCCTCACTAGCAGTAGATTGTGAGATTTGAGGTTCCAACTGCAGTGTCTATGGAAATTGCTATCTTCTGCGATCTGGCAAAGAGTAGCCTTATGGTTGTTTACCAGTGTTTCTATGGAATTTGCTGGCTGCACCTGCAGTGCATAAGATTATGCCAAGCCTGGAAATTAGAAGTTTGGGGGGAGTCTGTGGCCAAAGCCTTGAATGAATCATTATGAATCACAGCATTGAACCGTCTGGTTCATTCTGGGCTGTGGCTTTCCATCTTCCTATATCCAACCACATTTCTCAATCCTCAGTTTTCTCTTCTACCCTAAACCTGGAGGAAGCATGTTCTTCCAAAACATCATGAACATTTATCAGAATACATAGCCTCACATTCTGCAAATCATATTTTTGGTTCCATTCAATAAGGATTATTTGCTTTCTGGGAATGACAGCATATAACTTGTCCCTTTTTCTTAAATATTCCAAATTACTGTGCTCCACACACACACTAAGTACAATGAAGGGATCAGCCTGATAATGTGCATACACTGTATCTTGAACAAAAGAATGAAGGCCTGGCAAGATACCAAAGTAATCCAAAATGGGAGGTAAACTGCAAAACACCAGTGCATTACTAAGTGTAATAAGCAGCTGTAAAAGAAAGCATGCCATAACCAAAACCATAAATTATGGAGTGATTACTTGATCCCATTTCAAGAAACAATATATATGTTTCAAAGTTCTCCACAATAAGAATTAAAATGTTTGTGAATTAAACATGTACTGAAAAGGATTTGTTGCAAAAGAAGAATAGATACTGCTGTGTTCATATTTTAGTTCCACACAGATGAGAATAAAAACGGGGATTGCAAACATGGCAGTCAGCCTTGACTGTGCTAATATAATGAAAACAGTAAGACAACCAAATATTTTGTGCAAATGGTTCATGCTTTTATACCAGTAAGAGAGAAATGTTATTAATCAGAGTAATAACAAAAATAAATAAGATCTGCATACATCTTTGAAGAAAGAAAGTATGTGCATATATCAAGTTTCTTGCATATGTACCTCAGGAAACCAAAGTATGAAGTCAACACTGTAAATCAATTATATTACCCATCAGTGACCAGACAATTAATGTCGAAAAATCTGCCTTCACTAGTCAAAAGTAAATTATGAACTATATGAAGTATATTAACTACCTTTAGTAACAGTGATTATAATATTACACTCTCTTTAATAAAATTTCATTCAATTACTTCAATATTTGTAATTAATTATTCTGAGGAAAGGTGTAGAAAATAATGTTTGTACTTAGTTACTTTTTCTTCCTTCAGTAACTATGGAAAGTGATGGAGCAATTTCCACCCACCATTCTGGAAACTCAAAGTACTATATTAGGAACCAGTTCAAGTTTTAATCTTTCTAAGTCCATAATTTTTAACAGAGGAGCAAGCAGGTATATACATAACAGTTCTAGGAATAATTTCAAGAGTAACTATATTTTAATACAAATTGATAATATGATTTTGAAAATTATGCAATTAAAGAGGAACATGGAAGTATAAACAGATTTTATTTTTAGATCCTGTAGCACTTATGGTACACCTTATCCTATTTTCTCCACTGTTATGTTACAACTGGAAAGATTTATTTATTTTTGAATAACAGTAATTTGGAGTGGTGGTAGTGTAGTATTAACTTCTAGTCTTTTTATAATCATCCTGTAATAATTACCTGAAACATGAAGTTCAAACAATTTTTTATTTTTATTTAAAACTGTTCCCACCTAATAGTTGAGTTTGTATATTTA